GGAGGTGATCTTGCATAAGTGACTTAGGCATATGTGCCACTGTTATGGCCAATGGGTGGCACTGTTGCTGTAAGAAAACTCCAAAAAAGCAACAGGACAAGAACAAGTCAAAAAATTGGACAGAGCAATGTCTCTGGGTTGGGGGGACGGGGTTAAACGTACTATTTGAAGACTAGATCTGTAATAAGGTACGCAGTGGAAACACTCAGGTTGGAGTATAACCATACTGCTGTCACAGGAGTGCACACATTTTAAAGACTTTGGAAGATCAGGAGTTAAATGGCATACTTGATTAAAGTACCAATATATTATTACTCCCTTCTTCAAAATATGGGAACCACATAGTAAGCACAAAAGACTAGTTTTCAGTAAGGCAGGATCTAAACCTAGTTTTTGAAGACATTGAGATTAACATAGTAAGCCACTGGGCTGTGTTATGACAAAGTACGTTTCTTCAGGACAGGAAAACTTGCATTTGAAGAGTGCTGAGTAGCACTCTAAACCATCCTTGCATTGTTCCATTTGTCTTTTATTTCTGTCCCAGAAAACTATGAGAATATTAAATGGTAATAAAAATCTCTTATTGCACTAACAGTAAAAGGATGTTACTAATGTTAGTAAAATCTTTCACCTGATTCTCTAAGTTTTGACTTCCTATGATTATCTAGCAACACCTTTAATGAAATGTAAGTGAAAAAACTGACTCTTGTAGCAAAACTACTTGGGGGAAAAAGCATGGTTGTATGTCCCTAGGGTTTAGATACTACGATGTTCAGGTTATATTGTACGTCAGAAAGCGAAAAACAAACAGACACAGAAAACAGCATATCCTCTGTAACCCACTGGGTGTACTGACATGGGTATCATCAGCTTTGCTCTGATTTTTTTCTTCTGGTCAATGCGATTACAAAGTCTAACCGACAAAGGTCATGTTTGGACAAAAAGGAGGTAGATTAATAAAATTATTCCATCACAGATGTTTTAGCCTCCATTTGTGTTCAAGTTCTGCAAATCTGTATACCAACTGCATATTTGCTTAATATGCAAATCGAAACCAGTCTTAAATCGAAACCAGTCAACTGGCACATCATTCTGAGAAGACAGATTACACATTTTTCTCCTCACTTTGAGAAAGGTTACCACCACATCTGCAAATTTCAATACAAATAGTTTTGTTTTACACTACTGACTCACTTTCAGTTTTCCCCAATGCCTCAGAACTTGCTTATGTGAGAAATCGGATTTTATGGAACTATTCTGCCTGCTTTAAAGGGCATTTAATTAAATTAAATGTTACATCTTTAAAAGATATTTCCCCAATGTTATACGAGCTGAAAACACGATGTCCATTATGCAAGCCATTAGGTGCATTTAGATCCTGGACTTTCAGCCCTGGACACACAGTCATTTGTGCTACACATTTAGTTGTCTGTGCACCAACCAGAAGAGGGAAACTTGACGTACACCTTGCTAGTAGGTTACTAATTTGCCTAACAAAAGTAAAATACTGGAGACTATAAATCACGAGTTCTTTCTGGCTTTGGAAGGTTCCTATTGTTCTGGGACAACACAAGTCTGGTGTCTCCCATATTAGAAGCATGGGCTCTATTCCCAATTCTGTAGGAAGCAACATTATGCCATCTCTCAGTCTGTTGAGAGATCCAGAGCTGGTAGTTCAAGTACCTGATCTTATCAAGGGTAGGGTAACAAAGTAGTGGGCAGAAAAAGGGGAGTGAAATACAGATACCATTAACAGCAATAACTACCAGACAAATAAGAACTCATGATCCTTTGGATCCCAGTATAGCACACTTTTCCCAAGAAACATTTTTGAATAGGAAGAGTATCTTCGACTGATCAACTGAAAGGAGAAATGTTCTGCAAAATATGATTTAGTTGGAAGTTCTAGTTATATCTGTTAAAGGCTCTTTTGAAAAAAAGAAAAGTTGTTTTATACATTTTATACTAATAAAGGTCAGACACATGGGTATATTAGGCATCTATCTTCAGGGTTAATATATAATATCTAGATGTTAAAGCAAAGGAATCTCAGTTTATATAGTTCACTGTGAACAGGGGAAGGAAAAAAAAAAAGGCATCAAACCTGAAGGCAAGCTAATTCTATGTCCATCTTTAAGTTTTAACCGGCTCCTTTTAAACTTCCCCTTCCTCTTCTTTACATTAGGGTTCTCTTGATTTAACTGGAATATCAAAATTTTCAGCTCACGCTCCAGGACATCAACCTCCCGTTCCACTAACTGCTGCTCACGACGTTTTAATAATTCTTCCTGAGATTTCTGCTGAAGGGCTGCTCTTGTCAGTTCTTCCTCACGTGACCGCAGCTCCTTAAAATATGATTTACACAAACATGGATAAAGGAAATTAGAAAGAATTGTACTATTAGTCTTTTTTACAATGCAATATATTAAATTAGTCCTTTATGAATTTTCCTTGTACTTTATAAGTAAGTAAGGAAGTATGGGCTAGATGAATGGACTGTAAGGTGGATAGAAAACTGGCTGCAGCATTGGGCTTAGAGCAGGCTTGTCTACCATGCGGCCAGCCACACCGTTTTCTGAGGCCTGAGGTGCTGCAACGGGAAACAAAAGTAAACACTGTCTACTTTTGTTCCCACCCCTTGTCCCGCCCCCAGCCCTTCAGCAGCTTCCTAACGGGGAAGGGGGCATCCTTTGGTCAATCCACTGGGTGATAAAAAGTTCATGATCCAGCCCCACATTCAAAAAGGTTGGAAATCCCTGGCTTAGAGGGTAGTGGTCTATGGCTCGATGTCTGGTTGGCAGCCAGTATCATTGGGCCTGGGGCCAGTCTTGTTCAATATTTTCAACAATGACCTGTAAGATGGCATGAGTGCATCCTCAGCAAGTTTGCAGATGATGCCAAGCTGGGAGGGAGTAGTAGATATGCTGGAGGGTAGAGTTAGGATTCAGAGAGAACTAGACAAATTGGAGGATTGAACCAAAATAAATCTCATGAGGTTTGATAAAGACAAGTGCAAAGTCCTGCATTTAGGATGGAACAATCCCATGCACCAGTACAGCCTGGGGGCTGACACTAGGCAGCAACTCTGCAGAAAAGGACCTGGGGGTTACAGTGGACAAGAAGCTGAATATGAGCCAGCAGCGTGCCCTTGCTGTGAAGAAGGTTAATGGCATACTGGGCTGCATTAGTAGGAGCATCGTCAGCAGATTCAGGGAAGTGTTTCTTCCCCTCTAATCGGCACTTGTGAGGCCACATCTGGAGTACTATGTCCAGTTTTGGACCCCCCACTACAGAAAGGATGTGGACAAATTGGAGAGAATACAGCAGAGGTCAATCAAAATGGTTAAGGGGCTGCAGTACACGACTTCTGAGAGGCTGAGGGAACTGGGCTTATTTAGTCTAGAAAAGAGAAGACTGAGGGGATTTAATAGCAGCTTTCAGCTGACTGAAGGGTGCTTCTAAAGAGGATGAAGTGAAACTTATCAGGGGAGGGAGATGACAGAACAAGGAGCAATGGTCTCAAGTTGCAGCAAGGTAAGATATTAGGAAAAACTCTCTCACTGGGAGGGTAGTAAAACACTGGAAGAGGTTACCCAGACAGGTGGTGGAAGCTCCATCCTTGGAGGTTTTTATTTTAAGACCTGCCTAGACAAAGTCTTGGCTGGGATGATCTAGTTGCTGATGGTCCTGCTTTGAGCATGGGCTTGGACTAGGTGACCTCCTGAGGTCCTTTCCAACTCTAATTTTCTACGATTCTATGATTTTAAAGCACACAAAAATCCATTATATTCACATCTGCTTAGTTCTTTACAAGTCACCTGTCTTTCTGTAGAAAAAGATCTTCCAGGCATTGCACAGATCTTTTAGGTATCACTTTTACATCACAAACTATGTAGGCTGAAGCAGAAAAAGCACTGTGACTAACATCACCACCCTATGTTAAATCAAGGACTTGTAATGAGACCTCTGGTGATCAGAGAAAATGTGTTCTGGTCAGCTCTCTCATTAGGTTATAAATTCCCTTTCTTATTTTATGTTCATCTTGCACCTATACAATACGCTTTATACAGCATGTCTATACCATAAAGAGACCTCTCCATGGTTATATCCTAGCAAAATTGCTGCTGGGGTTAGCTATGCATGTAATGGTCCTGGTGGTATGAAAACAACTGTATAGCTTCTCTTTAACAAAGAACTATTTCAAATTGAGTGGCATAACTATATCCCAATCACTCCTGAAAAAAAATATATACAGTTCTGAAGACTTCAAAGCAAGTCACAAGGCAATCTGTATGTACTTTCAGACATCATTCAATCCAGGAATTTTTAATTATATTTTTTTAAACAGAATATGCCAAACAGAATATGCCATACAGAAAATGTCATCGCTACATTTTGAGGCCTTCCTTGATATTTTTAATTTAAATGTTAATAGATTAATAGTAAATATAGGGTGTAAGTATTTAAAAATTTTAACAAATGTCATCAAAAAGAAAATTCACTAAAATTTAAGTTTAAAGAATTCAATTAAAAACACCAAAATATTTATTCTACCACTTTGCTTTTAATAGATAGCAACAGAATCACAAGTCTACTCATTGACAATTTTATACTGTAATGATTAAAAACTGATGAGAGCGGCAAATTATGACAGATCAGTGTTACAAAGGAATTTGGATGGCATGGCTAAGAACCTGCATTAGCAATTATGCTGTCCTTTCTGACTGAAAGGACAGTACTGAGCTGAAAAAAAATGAGGACTTCCTAGAGAAGCCAATCAGGAAGAGAGGAACTGGCCATTTAAGAAACCAGAGAGAGGAGGGAAGGCAGAGTAGGACCTCTGGCAGTTCATAAATATCAATGACAAAAGGATAAGGCAACAAATGCCTAAAGGCAAGCAATACTGTAACTACTTAAAAGAAAAGGAGCAGCAGAAGTTTGCAATTATCATCATATCCTCAGCGTAGAAACAGAAGCGACCTCTGAAGATCTTGCTGGTTACAAAACGCAAAGCTATCTAAAACAGTTTTGAATGGCTACTCAGCCCAAACCACAAGAAAAATCAAGCAGACCCACAAGAGATCTTCAGCCATCCATAAATGACTGGGTACTGACTGTGAGGGAGTCAGAGTAGTGTTCTGGGGACTAGCAAACTACAGGACAAATACACCATCTTCTTGGACCTTGGATACAAAATGCAACTTTAAAACTGAAAAGGCTTCTGAAGTCAAACAAAAATCTAACTGGGATGGTTCACACTGTTGCTCAGAACATTGCTTTACAAGATATCATGCATAGCACAGGCTGTTTCAGAGAACTGGAAAGTGTGCTGAAGGAAAATTGTTTCCCTTTTGTCATCTTCCTTCTACTGCTTAGAAAAATGGTGTAACGTGAGAAAATTTGGTTTGGGGAAATACTGTCTCCTAGAAAACTGGTTCCCCCTCTGCTAATCTGGAGGCCATCAAAACACTATTAACCCGTCTCCTTATAGAAGATGAGTTAGTCTTCTGGGGGCCAAACAGCCTAGACTTTATAAGAGGGTATTAAACTAACAGAGAAAAAAAGGAAAGTGTTACCAAATAAGCATTTAGGAAAAATCATACACGCCAAAGGACACTGAGGAAATTATATACCCATGTACCAATGCTAAAATAAAAGCCTCAGTCACTGCAAACAATGAAATTGCTATCTTGGAACATAAGTTCAACCTATATGGATGGTACTACTAAAACCTGCTGGAAAGGACTCATGTGACTGGAATGCTTACAAATGTTTACAGCTTGTTTAGGAAGAAGACAGCAGTATTCTGTTCAGATTTTGGGGAGAAAAATCAAATGATAGATGAATATCATATGCTAAAATGCTTTACACTCCAAGGACTAAATAGAGGCCATTTTAAAAAAGATCCCAAAACTATAAATTTTTAAAAGTCAGCAGCTCCAAATAATTTACACTGAATAATTTTTAAAACAACTCACACCAAGGCACTGTTTGGACCATTTCTTCCCTAACGTTGCATACATTTTTAGATACATAAGTATGCCTTACAAGTACAGTAAAAGCCGTGTTTATCCAGCACTTTACAAACCAGCACACTCTACTAACTAGCATGTCAGTCGACACGCAAAAGTGAAACTAGAAGTGCCCACCGTGACACTTCCAGTTTCATAGAATCATAGAAGTCGGGTCAGAAGGGACCTTGTAGATCTTCAAGTCCGACCCCCTGCCTGGGCAGGAGAAAAAAACTGGGCTCAAATGACTCCAGCCAAGTAGGCATCAAGCCTCTTCTTAAAGACCCCCAGGGTAGGAGCCAGCACCACTTCCTCTGGAAGTTGGTTCCAGATCCTAGCCACCCTGACAGTGAAGTAGTTTCACCAAGCCCCCACAGCCTGAGGCAAAGCAGCCTGTGCTGCCAAGCCCCCATGGCCCGGGGCATAGCAGCCGTTCCCCAGTGTGCCCAGGGCCCCCTTCCCTGTCCCCCGGCACACTGATGCAACAGGAGAGGCAGCAGCACACTGGATGCGGCAGGAGGGGCAGTGGCCCTAACAAGCAAAGACACCTGTTTGGGCCTCTCAGGTAACTGGTATATTTGGTTATTCGGCACCCCCCCGTTTCCCACGGGTGCCAGATAACAAAGCTTTTGCTGTGGCACATGTACCTAAATATAAGATGACCCTGATTATAAAATGACACCCCAATAATTATATTTTATGTAAAATATATGAATTCGCTATAATTTTTCAGGTGTGGAATCTAAATAATGGAGGTTTGCCTTGAATTTGTCCAGTTCCCATTACTACAACAGGGAAATGTAATAGGAAGGGGGACGGGGCAGGGAGAAGAGTCAGGCAGCCTCCTTCCTGTCTGCCTCGACCTTACTGTTGGACCAGACCCTGCTCTCGCTGAACACATGGAAGTGATGAGCAAATCTGAAAATACTGACTTTGAAATTAGAGATGGGTAGAATAACCTGTATATAGTATCCATAGGCTACTCCATAATCATACCTTTTAAGCAGCACTTTGGCACCTACTTGTATATACTACAAACTATGCATGATATTAGTCAAAAGCCAAGAGGTTCCTGATTTATCATGTAGTTTATTGGGGTTGGCCCCATTAAAGTCAGCAGGATTTCAAACCAAGGTGATCCTACAGTTTAGCACTGCTCAGTATACATGTGTACTCCAAATATCCCCCAAAAAGGATCCATGTGCTAATCAATCTCGCCACTCATGACTGGAACCAGTTGTTCTTGTCATGACTACTGGGGTCTTCCAAAAATATGCAGATGAGGTACAGGGCTACTTGGTTCAGCTTCATAAATCTTTGTTGATTGGTGGACGTTGATACTGATTTTTCTTATGATAGGTTTGACAAGTTCAGTTAATTAAGGTAAAGATGCTGATGTTTTATTGAATATATTATATATAGTTGATTTGGTATGCATAATATTTTAATTATATAACTGAATGAAACAATCAACACGAATGGATACAAAAAAAAGAAAACAACTACCTAATAGTTCTCAAAAGTAACTGTAAAGAAGGAGTTGTCATTAAATGGGCTGTTTTTAACAGGGTAGCATAAAGACTTGCTTTTTTTGGTCCCATAAGTAACATTTTATTGGGAACCTAGAAGGCCAAAAAAAAGACCACTAAAAAATGTGTAGATAATAAGATTGGAAAAGAGGTAAATAATAAGGATGACAAGTCACTATAAAACCTTGTGACTAAACAATGTTAGTGTGGCTAAATGCAAAGTCATACATGCAGGAAGGGAGACTATAAATATTTATGGCTGCTGACGAATGTGAAAATAAAAGGAAACACAGCATTTCCTTTTAACACAGCACTTTCAGCTCAGCACACTCGCACCAAATGCAGCACATGCCCAGAAGAGGAACTGCGTCAGTTTGTCCCTGCTTGCCCAATGTCTGTATAGATCACGCACTTCACCAGGGCTTTTTGGTGTTTTTATCTAATAGCTGAATCAGCTATTAGATATAAGTGCCAAAATGCTGAAGCATGCAGTCTATGTAGATGCTGGGGAACCAGATCAAACTGATGTGGTTCCTTTTTCAGTAAAGCACCAGGGTTTTTTCTATGCCTGCCAGTGACCAACATGATAGACGACTATCTTAAAAAGAAGCAATGAAGAAAGACTTGTAATTTGGGGTGGATATTAGCTGAACAAGAGCTGCCAACGCAATACTGCTGCTGAAAGAGCTAATATATAAACAAGGGAATACTGAGTAGGGAAGTCACACTACTGTTAAGTACTGAGGTGATATAGTGAATAATGAACAGTTTTGATGTACATAGCTCAAAGAATGTTGAAGGAGAAAAAAAGAAAGGGTTTAGAGAACTCATAGAATGATTAGAGGATTGCCTTATATCTAGGGACCTACTGAATGTATGGCAGAGTGGGTGTGCTGTGGCCCCTTTAATCTTGTAGATTCCCCTGACCCCCACACCGACTGGTGAAGGGGTCCCACTGGCAGCTCACTCCTGATCAATGGGGAGACAAAAACTGTGGTTTTAAATATGGCGCTGTTTTTGCCTCCTGCCACCAATTGGCTGAGGGGCCCCAGAGAGCCTTCCTGTCTGCTGATGACTGGCAGGGAGGCAACAACGGTGCAGTGTTTAAAACTGCAGTTTTAGCTTCCCTGATGATCAGGAGGGAGCAGTGAGGTCCTCCGCTAATCAGCAGTGGGGGAGGGCACGGTGGCAAGGGGCGCTTGGGGGAACATGCAAAATTAAAGGAGCCACTGCGCACTACTTCTGCTATGAATATGGTAAATCCCTACTTGTATCAGTAGTGCTCAACCTCCAGTCTGAAGGGCTCCCCCTGGGTCTGGAAATGTGGCACTGTGGGAGTGGTGGCAGCATCAACTGCCATAGCAGTTGCAGGAAACTATTAATACCACTGCTCCCCACCAACAAACTTCCACACCTGTGGAGAGCCTTAAGAGCCAGATGACAGTACCTAGGTGCCAGATCAAGGCATGAAGTTACTTTATGACTGCATCCAGCCCAGTGTGTTAGATTGCACTTATGTACTGACCCCATGCACCAACCCCATGCTGAGTCTGGCCCATGACTGACCCCTATAGGGCCAGAAGGTTGAGTACCACTGCCTTATACTGAAAGGCACATGGAGCTGAATCCAGTACGCTTAAGGAGTAAGAATAAACACACTTCCTGCAAGAAAGTGTGGGGTAGGGACTTGCTGCAGAACTGTTGACATATAGTAACTGATCATCTACTTGCTCCTACCTTGTGATAAGCAAAAGGTAAGCCAAGACAATTTACCCTTCAGTGGAACAAGGGTAGTCTGTTGCACTCCAGCTTCCATTTACTCTGGGGACAGTTTACTCAGTTACTGAATATCAGCTACTCTATGGCAATTACCCACCTACTTTTAATTTGCTGCAATTTATTTGTTTGCCCATATACAAACAGAAGGTTAAAAGGCAAGTTTCAAACTTAGATCTAATCTTGCCATGGATTTCCTATACCATGAAACAGTTAAAAGACATGCCCATCAAAAAGGAAGTTTGTTTTGTTTTTAACTTTTACATATAAACAGGATTTCACACCATAACCATGTAAAAACCTTACGCAGTCTGTTTTTTCCCCCTCTAAAACTACTATGCTTTTGGAAGGGTCAGTCATTTTCCGTCACGCCCACATATATATTGGTTTTGAGAGGAAGCAGAGAAGTCTAAACCTCCTTAAAGGTTTACTAAAGGTTTACTAAATGGTGTAGAAAAGCTATAGTAAAAAAAGACAAGGAATGATTTTTCTGGTCAGTGCTTCAGTTTGAGCCCAATGTTCCTACTGTGTGGAGATTAAACAAAACAAAACAAAACAAAAAACTGGCAAAACTATACATTGGTTGACTTTCTGCATTCTGCTCCAGATTTATAGGCTTTATTTTCACTTGTTTAAAACTAAAGCATGACGGAAAAAGCAAAAGTCCTTGAACTCCGAGACAAACCATGCAGTTATTAGCTCTATAAATTATTTTGAGAATAGATGATATTCTAAATAAAATTGGAATCAAGACAATTTATATAGTTAAAAAGGGCACATCTGCACCAAGAACAGACAACAATGTTCAAGTTTACCTAGGAAAAAAGTAAAAATATAGGGTAGGGATTTCCAACATTATTTTTTAAAATTTTTAAAAATTTTTTACCACTGCCTGGCTTTAACCCCAGAAGCTGCTCAGCTGGGTGGACAGATTTTTGGGAGGGGGGGCCAGGGGCTCAGAGCTGGGGGCTCATGCAATGACCCCACAGCCAAACTGCCACAGCCTGGTGGTTGGGAATCTCTGGTATAGGAGTTATCTTAGGCCTGAGCTATACACATATTCAGACTTCTGGCATCATTCTGGAATACTGCCAAAAAAGTCCCAATCCCACTAGTAAAAAAGCCTGTACCCACTAACCTATACACCAGTAGTTCCTAGTTTTCCTACTCCTTTATTACAGTTATTATAGTTAGAACTGGAAAAATCTACTTACTTTTTCTTTAGTCCTCAGTTCATTGAATATCTGTTGTATTTCTAATTTCCAGTCATCTTGCATGGAGTGGAAGGATTCTTGAGGCATTTCAGTCATAACTGCCTCTTCAATGGCAGTAAGCTGTTCAAGAATTAAGGCAAACGATGGTCGAATATGAGGATCTTGCTCCCAACATTCTGAAATTCATCAAAATCCAATCAGTTGCACTATAAGGGGAAGCTTACAATTATACAATCCATAGTTTTCCAATTCAAAGTTCAAGTGCTTACCCTCTTCCTAAGAATTGCCTACGTTCCCTTTGTTGCTGTAAGTCAAGCTTACCTACAGTATCACAGGGCTTTTCAAAGTGTTATAAAAGTCAAGTTTTTTTCCAAACAACTTCTATTTTCAGGATCTGAAGAAGCAGACTACCACAGAATCATAGAAAATTAGGCTTGGAGGGACTTCAGAAATTCATCTAGTCCAACCCTCTGCTCAAAGCAGGTGCTAGCCCCAACTATATTATTCCAGCTAGGCCTTTATCAAGCCGGACCTTAAAAACCTCCCAAAATAGAGACTCCACCGTCTTTCTAGGTAACCCATTCCAGTGCTTCACCACACTCCTAGTGAGAGAGGTTTTGTTTGTTTTTTGTTAAATATCCAACCTAAACTTCCGTTGCTGCAACCATTGCCCCTTGTTCTGTCATCTGCTACCACTGAGAACTATAAGCACTATGCAGTGTACTAATAAAATGAACAACCAGAAGACAACCTCAGACACTGCAACATTAGTCTGCAGTTCCCTCACTTCTTTTTAAAGAAGGGATGGCTGAACAGAACATGTTTGGACATCAAGAGATGACTGTGACATAACTGTGGTTTCTGATGGAAGTGATTTTTAAAGTGATGCGATACAGTGCTGTATGGCTTATACCAGGAAAGTAAAAGACATGGGCCCTAGGCTGGGTCTGGCCTGTGGAGCCCTATCACCTGGCACCATATGCAGCTGGCAGCACAAAGGGCCAATCTGTGGGCCCAATCAGCCCGAGGACCAGCCCAGCATCACTCATCCAGACCACCGCGCTTGACGAGTTCGACACTCTTGGATTACACTAAAATGTGTTGGAGTGGCAGGAAGGGGAGTAAGGGTAGAGAGGAATCACTACATTATACTTGGCTGGCATACTACCAGATGAAGTGTTTGAGTTTTAAAGTAATTGTATAACCCAGCATAAAGAAAGCACAGATATTGCAGGACATGTACGTTTTGAAGTATAAAAAAGCAGTATAGATACCTTTCATTAGTTTAGCAAACGGTTCAGGACAGGTGGATGGAATGGGCAAAGTAAGCTTATTGACAGCTACTCCATAAGCCACAGCAAGACCATCAATGCCACGGTAAGGAACTTCTCCTGTAAGCAGTTCCCACAGCAACACTCCATAACTATAAAGCAAATTTTAAAATGGTTAGTTTTATCTTCCAAATATGTTTATTCAGAAACAAACCAGTTAGCACTTTGTCCAGTTATACACTGTAATAGATAAAGTCTTTAGTGTCATAGGTAGGGACCTACTGAAATCCACAGGATAAAAAAGAAACAAAAAATAACAGCAAAAAAACCCAACTTACCAAGCACTGCGGCAGCTTGCTGGGGGGAGGAGGAATAAAGAAGGGCGCTGCCTGCTCAAAGGGGTGCCAGAAAGATGGCTGCTGCCCCCACCCCTAGTTACGAATTGGCTGCAAGGCTGCCTATCATATGCCCCACCCCTTTCCACCAATTGGGTGCAAGGTGCAGGGCTATGTGATGGACAGCTCTTGCAGACAATTAGCAGTGAGGGGTGGGGCCACCAGGCCCCTCAGTCAGGGGGCAGCCCCTGCAAATTAGGTAGGTCCCTAAGTCATAGATGAAGGGACTATTTCACTTTTGTCACCACCTCTTTCTTATATCAACATTTAATAACATTGTGTATACTGGCCAAATGCAATGGCTCGCAGTCCGCTTACTGCCTTACACTGACTGACAACATACCCACATGAAGAACTTGGGAAGAGAAAAACAAACAAACCCTTTTTCTATTAGGTACTGTGTGAGCCTTGATGGAAAGAGGATGAGTGCGATTAAAGGTGGGAAGGGAAAGTGTAAGGAAGGAAAGGGGGACTTTAAAAAGAAGTCTTCTAGATATCACTCCATTTCAATATCAACCAGACCAAACCAGAGTTTGTCCAAACATATAAAGATATCATTTTCTCTTTAAAAGAAAAGACACTATTTGAAACCTGAAATTATGCTTTCCCATGACACACTGTAAAGTAACCTCTTACTTTTTTAACCTTCTTACAATTCATGTAGCAGGACCTGAGATACTGCCACATATACAATTTCATTTTTCTCATCTGGGGGAAGATGGTGAGGGGAATATATTGTCTCCTGTCAAATAAGCAGAGGAGGAAAATGTCTTGAATTTTAAAGCACTAACATTTTGCTTCTTGATTTTCTATCAAATAGCAAAACAAATAACTGTCCTTATGACTGTTAATTATATTACATTAGCTAAAAGAAACTGTCAGAATTTCTTGAACTGACTTTTTCCCCCCCTTTTTCAGCTAGCTCTGTGGACTCTGTTACCACCTTGTACTTAAAAAGTGAGCCTTATAGTTACTCTTTTCACTCCAATTATACAGCCACAAGATGCAGAAAAAAAAGAGACGCTAAGGGTAACCTTCTCCTAACTTAGTGACTGCAGAAGCAGCAGCCCAGAGGAAAAGGAAGAAAAACAAGGATAGATAATATTCTCTCCACTCTCACCCATGGCTGAGTCACCTGCAACACTACTTTTCCTCCACAAAATGTGTTGGGTCAGCAAACAAACAGAAACAACTACATCGTTCTCTGGCTTTGGCTCTCCTTAGAACAAAGTTGTTTAGCATTTGTATGAATTCTTACTGCTTTATCAGAAATACCAAGACACTATATAGTGCAACACAAGTACCAACAGAAGAGAGTTTAAAAATGTACATTAACTGAATAACAAGCAGTGTTTGTCTAGAGCTACATTCAAAATCTTGACTTCTCAAAGCCTTATGTTCTGCTTGATTTGGATATGCAGGCTACTGAACTAACATTTGTTTAGAATTAATGAGCAAAAGCACTGAAAAAGGTATATGAGACATATTGGTGAAGTCTTGGGCTTTTTCAGTAAATTGATTTACCAAAGAAGAGATGCTCCCAGATAATATAGACCAGTATACACCATCCAAAAAGAAAAGCAAACTCATACTCCAACAACATATTTAAATTCAACATAGTTACTTGAACCAATATTGAGTAGTTCAAACTGTACTGAACTTTACACAGGTGAAGATCTCTACCGAACCACTTTCTTGCTTTCACGCTCAATTCTAGGCACTTAAATAAGTCTTATGCTTTCTGGTATGGTCATAAACTCTGCTCCCAAATATAGAGCAGTGAATAATCTGTACTAAAATAAACCAAAAATGTGTGTTGAGAACTTTAAATGAAGTTCAGCAAAGCAGCAATGCATTTGGCTAAGAAGGCAGGGGAAAAATGTGCCTCAACTAGTTGTTCATTCTACTGTCCGGGTTCAGTTACCTTCTGAATTCAAAGTTTCTAATGCTACGTAGTTTTTAACACCAACAGAAAGACAGTTGTGGAATTCACTCACACCAACACAGTAACAGTCTGAGAATGCCCATTTTAATTATAGAGACTGAGCGTTAATCTCAAGAGCTGTTCAAGAGCCAAAACCAGGGAAAGGAGGGGCAGCGGACGGAGGGGGGAAATGAAGGGGGGAGGGAAACCCACAGTCTAATTTTACCAAGCACAGGTTTTGGGAGGTGCTGTTCTATCATTATCTCTGATAAGTAGTTATTACCTCTCTAAGCTACAGAAGAAGCTATTTGTGCAGTAGGTTCTGTAAACCCAAATACAGTCATTCTAGGCATTTATTTCCAGTATCTAACAGGAAGCACACCTTTTAAAGAAAATGCACAGAATCATCTATCTATTCTTACATCTTCCTGTGTACAGGCATTAAGCCCTTGAAATGTATTCCCTAATGGTTGAACCTGTTAAAATTTAGCTTATTTTTCTTAACGCCATGAAAGCGTTTCACTATTTAAGTCCATCCTCAGGTATTAAGACAGAGTATCCATTACATATTCACTTAAATCTAGACTCATGATTCTTATAAACAATTTCCTCCTCTTATGCCAGCCAAATAGTTAAACTGAAATTATGACTGTTTTTGAAAAAATACATTTTATTTTCTCCTCCACTCTTCTAAACAAAACAAAAAGACTACATGCAGGTGACCTCGTCCAGATGAACTTCCCAGCACTAGTAGATTTTGGAAACCTGAACAGTGGATACAAACCTGTCAGTCTCCAATGCTTTTGGTTATTTTTTTT